CTCGATGTGACCCGACACATCACCGTGTGTGACGGCGACGCGGATGGTGGGGGAAGGGGTAGGCCTGGGGCGTGTGGTCGATTCCACCCTCCTGATGTGGCTGCATGGGCCATCTGGAGGGGGCTGCGTGCGAACCACCCCGAGGGAAGTGCGCTGCTTTCCTCCTCGTCTCGGGCTTTTGGGCTTCGGTTGGCGGCAGCACTTGTCGTAGTGTCCATAGCGACCACAGGCCTGACACTTGCGGTCTCGTGCAGGGCACCTGTCTGTGTTAGACCAGTGGCCCTTACGGTCACATCCACAACACAGTGCGTCGGCGGCCGGGCATGTCTTGGGGCTGTGCTGCTTTCCACAGCTGCCACAGGAAGCACTAGGCGGAGGCGTGGAAGAACGTGTGGCAGCCTTCGCGTTGTTGGCCGCCTTCTTACCCTTCTTGTACTGTGAGATAGCTCTCACAGCAGGTGGGGCCCGTAAGGCAGAGGTGTCGGACTTGGTGGCCTCGTACGACCGACATTCAGTCACTACCACCTGGAGTGTGGAGGAAGCGTCCAGGGGGATGAGTCGCTGCACCAACTCTTCCTGCCTGACACCTGTCAAGATCCCGTGCTTGATCCAGGCTTCCTCACATTCCCGGCTGTGCGCCTTGCAGACGTCGATCTCCTCTGACAAACTCTTCAAGCGTACAAAAAATTTGTCAAAGGATTCGTTCTCTGCCTGCTTGCAGCTGGTGAAGGCGCGGCGACGCAAAGCCTCGTTATTCCTACCTTTAACGTGCTCCTGTAAAAAGTCGAGCACATCCGTCACTGAAGATGTAGAATCGGGAGGCACTTGCAACGTGTGCTCCAAAATTCTCTGGGTCTCCAGCGACAAACACATCCGCAGTTGGATGAGCTGTTTGTTTGGAGGCATGCTGTCAAGGTCCACCATCGTGGAGTAATCTGTCCAACGCCGCCTCCACTCACGAAAAAGCTGAAACGTGACGTCTGGTGAGAGGGCGGGTGGGGGTTGAACAGATGCCTTGGGAGCTGTTTGTTTGGAGGCAAGAGTACCTGGAGGACGCTGGTGTGGTGGAGGAGGGAGTGTACTGGCGCCTTGAAGCATGCTACCTGTGAGTGAGGGAGGGTGGGTTAGCGCCAGGGTCGCCAATAGTGCCTCAAAACGCAACTTTTCCTCCTCTCTTCGTGTCTCCTCCCTCTGAAGTTCCATCTCTCTGTGTCTCTCGTCCCGGTCGTCCATCCACCTCAGAATTGTGGCAATGTCCGTCACTGGAGGTGGAGGATGAGAGTCTGCGCCCGGTGGAGGGGAAGGTGGTGGGGAGTCGTGTCTCCCATCTTGACGTTGTCCCTTCTTACCGCCCATCTTTGTGTGTGCGTGGACTGCACTGTTTAGTATATAAAGTGGCGCCTCAACAGCTCGAACCACATATATATGACATAAACAGCGCAGAAATTACGCAGAGTCCACTGTTCTGTCCGTGAGTGAGTGCGTGCGTGCGTGTGTGTGTGTGTGTCTGAGACAGCAGATGCACTTCGTGGTGGCCTTAATGCCGGTGGCTAGAGACGCGGTGGGGGGGTGAGACCGTCAGTGTCTCCCGGGATGTCACACGAGAAGGGTGTACGCCTGCGTGCTCCGTGGGTACCACTAAAAAACAGGCCAATGCTCAACTCTCAGCTCTAGACACACTAATACACTGACACTAACACTGCCACCGTCACTAAAATGCACTGTGACGGCCCAACACTGCACGTTGCGGCGAAACACACTAGTCGACGCGCACATCGCCGGCTGATGTAACCATCGGCATAGTTCACACACTTTGTAAGTCCACAGATCCTAGTCACTGCGCCAAGATGGTTACAAGTGTTCCCTGAAGAATGCAGTGATGGGTAGGGAAACACCGGGTAACACTGAAGTCCGTTTATTATGGATGAGAGAAATACAAGTGGTGACTAGCGTGTGCCATGCACGGCTCACACAGTCAGACTGAGGCTGCCTTGCCATATGGCAGCCTCGGGGCAATGTTGCCACATAACACGTGCAGTGTTGGCACGTAATTATATATATAAATGCTACTCGGCACAGTAGCTTATTTACAAGGTTGCTACTCGGCACAGTAGCTTAGATGCATAACCTACAAAGGGGTACTCGTTTACCTCACAGGAAAGAACACACTGTCCTGAATAAATATATCAGTTCAAGGTTGTCCACTGTTTCCAGCCTTACACCACTTTACCATCGGATAATACATCGTAATTTTGCATGTACATTGTATTCCCTAAGTGATGCTAAGTGAGAGTTTCTAGTTTCAAAAGTAAGTTTGATGCTATTTTGTTTGCTATAACTGTATTTGCGTTCTTACTTCTTCAGTTACCAGTTACCACGTACGAAATTTTATGAACTGAGCCCTGTGATCTTTTGAGCTTCCATTCCGATTATCAATACCCAACACATTACAGTAATCAGGTCACCATTTTGTCTTCATATCTCTACTTTATTATTATTAGTTCTACGTTTCCTAATTTTAAAGTGATAGGTGTTGGTGTGATAGATGTTTAAAGTGACAGAGGTGGTGGTAGAGATGTTTAACATGACGAGTGTGGAGTTTCATATATTTACAGTAAAAGGTGTGATACTGTAAGTATTGAAGTAACAGTTGTGGGGCTGCAGATATTTAAATGGCACTTGTGGTTTTTTGAGATATTAAAATGACAGGTTTGGTGTTACAATAGATATCAAAATGGTAGGTAGGTATGGTGTTGCAGATATTTAAGCGGCAGGTGTGGTATTGCAGGTATCTGTGCAGGAGGCGAAGAGGGAGGATCAGAGTGTTTTCCTGAAGGTGGGCTGGAACAACAAAACCACCCTGAGCGGGGACGACCTTTGGCGGGGTGGACTACACCTGTTGGTGGTCAACCCTTGGACCAGTCAGATCACCCTTAGCCAGGTGTTCCCAACAGGTGACTACGGCGCTCATCGTGACCTGTCGTGGACTCTGGGATTCGTCCAGCCAGGCAGAGTCGTCATCATCGCCTCTTTGGTAAACAGTGACCCATCGACTTAGCTCTACCTATTTTTAGTTCCCCATGTTTTCACCTGAAAAAATAAATCTTTATATCAAACATTAAAGAAAAAGTGGTCGTGAATCTGCAGATGTTGCGTTACATCTCAGCAGCTAGAAGCCGCCTGTAACGGCTAAAAAAGAATACAAAAGTTATATTACGTTTCACCAGTTATCTTTGTAAGGAAGTCATAGTGATGGTTTAGGCACACTCTTCAGCCCGCAAACCTAGATAACTTTTGGGGAAGGTGCGTTTACAGTTCATAGGCCTGACATTCCTCATAAGGATGGTACAGCCATCCACAAAAGAAGTTCTGTTGTTTCTCTTTCTGTTCCACGAACCCCGAGATTCAGACTCGTGAACCCGAAGCAGCAGACACTTTCGCATTATTGTGTGTAGAAATGCTTCGGATTCACAAGTCTAAATTTCGGGGCTCGTGGAACAGCAGGAGAAGAGACGACAGTACTTGTGGTTGACTACAATTATTATTCTTTTGGACCTGTGTACAATAAGAAGTCACTCATCACGTCAGAGCCCGGGACCAAGCGCAACCCCTCTCGTCCTAGAGTGGCAGGTTGATGGAGATAGTGTAAGAGAAGACAGTTCTAGCCTTCGGTTGTCTTTTTTGTCTTGATAGCACGATGGATCGCAGCAGCTTGGGACGGCGCGACAGGACCTGCAGAACCTGGGGTCCGAGTGGGCGTTTCACTACCTTTACAGGGATTCGTGGGCGTGGGTGTTCTTCAAAGGCGGCAGGACCTTGGCGGAGACGATCAGTCCTAACTTGAGCACCCCGAAAGTCCATGCTTCCCCTTTGCTACTAACAGTGGAGATCCCGTGGCCACCTGAAGGAACCAACCTTACACAGCAGGGAGAGGCAAAGCCTGAGAATGAAGGGGTGATGGTCAATATACTGGCGAGAAATGAGTCGTTGGGAATTACGAAGGAAACAACGGCTAAGATGGAAAACCAAACTGAAGGTACAAATGAAGAACAAATACTTATCAACGAGGCACAAGACATCGTGAATACAACAAACATACCCACAGCTAAAGGGTTATTGAACGACACTGAAGATATGATGATTTTTAACATTACAGCTAATGGTGTAGTCGAGGACGAACACGTCAAGGAAGATGAAGGGGGTGATGATGGCACCTTGGATAATCTGGAACAAGACCTAACGGGTGAGTAAAGAGTCGATTTATTGTAGATGTTAGGGAACGAAGATATGATAAAGTAAGGTGTAAATAAACACCCCAGAACAGTATATTAGAGGAGTTAAAACTTACAGTGAAGAGCAGAGTTAAATCGCGTTTTCTCAGTTTGAGTAGAGAGAGAGAGTGTGTGTGTGTGTGTGTGTGTGTGTGTGTGTGTGTGTGCGTGCGTGCGCGTGGACACTGGGGTATTATGTGATGTTAAATTGGTATGACTGTTGAATTTCTTAGGTTCTACCCGACGTCTGCAAACTACTCTGTCAGAGGAGTTTGTGTCCTTCTGGGCATGTTATCAACGTGATAACTCGAATAAAAAAGTGTGGATTTCGATGAAACTTTGTGTGGGGATGTAACCCAAAGAGTTAAATAATCAGTGTTTTCCTTCCATATTTCGGGGAGAAAAGGTGCAAGGGAACCCTCCACTGGGGAGAGTGGAAGATGGATGGGGCCTTATAATTGCAATAAATAACTATAATTATATATTTTGTACTTTATTTATATATCTAGTGAGGTAGAACTTCCTTACATCTATTTTACATAACAGCTTAACCAATTTCAAACACTGACGCCTTGCATGTAAAAATTACGACAGCTTGAAGAAATGACCGGGGTGGTATGTCTTCCATCTCGTTATGGATATTGAATGTGGCGTTGGATATGTGAGCACTGACTGAGAACGTTCTCCCTGACAGGTTTGGGTGAGTGTAGAGGATGGGGGAGGAGCGAGGTGTGGCGGGCGAGGCGGGTGTTTTGTGACACCCATGACGGCTATGGCGACCTGTGTGACTGTGACCACCCCTTCGTCTTCCCCGCCCACCGCCAACTTACAGCCCCGGTCAGTGCTACTACAGAGTCTTGTTTATTTACCTACCTGTGTTACTATGTGTGTTATAATCGGTATAAATGTGTCGTAGGTTAAATGAGTCGTAGTTTTAATGTGTCATAACTTAAAGGTGTCATAGCTTTAATAAGTCATAGCTTTAAATGAGTCGTAGCTTTAATGTGTCGTAGCTTAAAGGTGTCGTAGCTTTAATGAGCTGTAGCTTAAATGAGCCATAGCTTAATGTGTCGTAGCCTTAATGTTTCATAGCTGAAAGGTGTACCGTCCAACCTATATATATATATATATATATATATATATATATATATATATATATATATATATATATATATATATATATATATATATATATATATATATATATATATATATATATATATATATATATATATATATATATATATATATATATATATATATATATATATATATATATATATATATATATATATGCTAAGTTGGCAACATTTCTAACTCTAATATCAAGAATAATATGGAATTGGTTGATAAACTCAATAACTTACACATTAATTATGATTTTAAACTGGTCAGTTTTGATGTAACATCACTCTTTACAAAGGTCCCAGTTGATGATTTACTAGAGTTCCTCATAGATTCCCTGGATGACATTTCACTGCCCGTCTCGAAAGACGACTTCATCGAACTCATCAAACTATGTATTAAGGATTGCAAATTCGAATTCAATGGGGAATATTATGCTCAAAAATTTGGTATGGCAATGGGTAATCCACTCTCACCTGTATTAAGCAACCTATATATGGAATTCTTTGAAAAGAAACTATTAAGTAATATTTTACCACCCTCAGCAGTCTGGTTTAGATATGTTGATGATGTATTATGTCTCTGGCCATGCAATGAGGACCTAAAAGCTTTCCTGTCATAACTTAACAACTTAGCCCCCTCGATCAAATTCACTGTGGAATTAAAGCAAGACTGTAAATTGCCATTCCTAGACTGTCTGATACACAGAATAGGTAACACTTTTAAGTTCAGTATTTATAGAAAACCAACTAATGTGTGTTCATACATTCATTATTATTCTGCCCACCATAATAAAGTCAAACAGTCAGTATTTTCAACAATGTTTTTACGTGCCTTGAGAATTTGCAGTCCGGAATTCATCGATGAGGAATACAAATATATATATAATATTGGCTCAAACCTTAAATACCCTAGATCTTTCATAGACAAATGCCTAAACATTACTAAGAAAACTTTTTATAGAACTGATCCCAAGCCCACCCATGACCATAAGAATATCTTAATATTACCATTTCACAAAAATTTCTCACACATTCCTTCACAACTAAAAACCTGGGAACGTCAATGTGGCATTTAAAAACTCATGCACTGCTAAACAAATGCTAATCAAGAACTCCCCCAACAACACAATTGGTTGCATTTATAAAGTTCCTTGCAAGGAATGTAATATGTTTTACTTAGGCCAGACAGGAAAAGATCTTGCAACTAGAATTAAACAACACAAATACAGTGTTAGGACAGGCCAGGAATCCAATGCTCTGTTTGCTCATTTGAGGGATAACAAGCATTGCATTGACTGGGATAATGCCTCCTCAATATTACCATGTAATTCAATTGATAGTAGGAACATCATAGAATCTAGTCTTATTAAACATACCGAAGCATTCAACATGAATTTGAGTAACGGCATGTACAAGCTGGACAATTTTGTAATTAAGAAGATTTGTAACCAGGTGAGAAGGCCGGGTCACCTGACCATCTGACCTGACCACCAACCGTTGTGTGCTATTTAAAGATTAGTAGGGTCATTACCTAATACCTGACCATTGTGGACCTGGTCTCACCCTCCTCTGTATATATACACCTTGGTTTGTATTTCTCTCTCTAGTCTGTACTCACCCCTGAAGATGTGAATTACACGAAAGCGCTTGGGAACTTCGTGTTTTCTTCTTTCCTTGTGGTTATCAGCATATATATATATATATATATATATATATATATATATATATATATATATATATATATATATATATATATATATATATATATATATATATATTTCATTAGCCCAATAAAGCACGCATACTTCTACATACAATCAACACCTCAACCCGCCAGGATTCGAACCCACAGCCCACCAGCCCATGACTGTGACCGGGGAATGCTAACCACTGGACCACCAGGGTTGAGGTGTTGATTGTGTATATATATATATATATAGTCAACCCTCACTTTACGCGGTCCCACATTCCGCGTTTGGTGCCCTGCCAGAACCCAGGATGCTCACATTCCGCGGTGCGTGTACCCCTTTACATGGGTGAAGTATATTTTTTTTATTTAGCTCATAAAATTCATACAAATTACCCGGCCAGAATATAATTTACATTGCTGGAATTCTTACAATTTGATGATCATTTTGAATATAAACATCATAGATTTTGCATTAGACATACAAATTTTAGATATAATGTTTACTCTGAGTAAATATGTTATCTTTTGTGCAAAATATATGACATTTATATTCAAAATATTCCTGGTCTTACAAGGAATCCAGCAATGTCAATTACATTATCCTAACTTTAGTCTGATTTATTATTTATTACTAAAAAGGTAAATAGTCTGGTTTTCCCACACATTTATCTGGTAGGGAGGGTTGGTGGGGCGTGGGGGGGAGGGAGGGACCGACCGACCTTCTGGCACGGTGTGAAGAATATTTTTTTTTATTAACTGAAGATATTTGTTTTAGCTCATAAAATTCATATAAATTACCTGGCCAGAATATAATTTACATTGCTTGAATTCTTACAATTTGATGATCATTTTGAATATAAACACCATAGATTTTGCATTAGACATACAAATTTTAGATATAATGTTTACTCTGAGTAAATATGTTATCTTTTGTGCAAAATATATGACATTTATATTCAAAATATTCCTGGTCTTACAAGGAATCCAGCAATGTCAATTATATTATCCTAACTTTAGTTTGAGGTATTATTTATTACTATACCTTAAAATCTAGTGGTTTTCCCTCCAAAATTTCTCAGAGAGGGAAGAGCCAGCGAGTGTAGTGTGAGAAGAGGGGGAGGGAGTTGAGTCCATTATTTGAATGGACATAAACTTGGCGGCTGTATTTCTCTATTTCTCTTAAGTATTAATTGTGTGCATGTACCATCATAAAATTAAGATGTTATTTTTACTAGAACATAGGTATTGTGTTGGAAAAAGTGGAGTTTGGGGGTCAGCTGGTCTCTATTTCATTTAATCCCATATGTTATGTTATTCACTTTACACGTTTCTCACTTTCCGCGGTACCCTGTGGGTTACATTAACCGCGTAAAGTGAGGGTTGACTTATATATATATATATATATATATATATATATATATATATATATATATATATATATATATATATATATATATATATATATATATATATATATATATATATATATGCGTGTGTGTGTGTGTATATAGGTCAGATTCATGTGGGTAATGTCACTGTTCACTGCCATGCAGGACAGAGGTTCGTACACAAAGAAATACATCATATTCATTAGCAGTATATATAGGTCAGTGGTTCACATACATTGGACGTCATATTCTAATTGAAGACTAATCAGTGTGGGATAAACAGCAAGAATGTCCTGAAGCACCCCCGATTCAATGTAGTAATTACAAAGTTCAAGATACAATAAGCCAGGTGGCCTGAAGTCTTTGACAGTGTCACATTCAATAATATAGTGTTCAAGTGTATGCTTTAAAGGTTTATCACAAAGTTTACATGCTGAGTGTTCCGGTATGGGTACAGCCTTACTAACCTGCCAGATGTGTCTGTATCCTAACCTAATTCTGGCCACGACTACATCACATTGTCTGGTTCTGTCCTTATGCTGGCCATACCTGTACCTCTTGTCACAAAATTTGTCATATTTACTAATGCTACAACTGCCAGGTTTCTCTGCATTTCTCACTTCTTCTAGATCAGAGTTCATGATTCTGACTTGAATGGTTTTAATTACAGCATTGGACAGGCCAAGGTCACGGTCAACATTTTCTTTCTTACATGCCCTATTGGCCAGTCTATCAGCACGGTCATGATACCTGATTCCAAATTGGGACGGGATCCACGCAAATTAGATACGAAAGTTGTTCTCATTGGCAGTTATCACATTCCTTTTAATATCACATACAACTTTAGACATAGAGCCTGACGGGCTGTTCATTGATTTCAAAGCACTTTGAGAGTCACAGAATATCACCCCACCTCTATTTTCTTTAAGGTGGTCTGTGGCTAAGTAGATTCCAGTTAGTTCAGTTTGTGTTGTGCTGGTTCAGTTGTTCAGCATTTGCTTGTTTGACACTATCATCTCTTTTTCTTTATATATTTCAATTGCACAGCCTGTTCTATCTGTGTTTGTCTGCACAGAACCATCAGTAAAAGTATAGGATTCACTTGATTTAATACTCTTTATGTGTCTGTTAATAGTTTCTAGTGTGACACATCTCATCACATCGGTGTTTAACATTTGCTTACTACCAACAGGAGTGTAATTAATAGGAACTGATATATCCACCCAAGGAGATATGGCATTAATGGGTTCGTCTGGGGTGATTGGGACATTCAGTTTCAAGAGATCTGCAACACATTTTATGATGCCACGCCCCAAAGAGAATCTTTTGTGGGAGGTTAGCGAGACAGTCTGGATGACTTAGTTAGAACATCAACTCAGTTTGAGCTGTAGTATGGGAAACATTGTTCTTCAAAACTTTGACACAAAACATGGTATTAAGTAGAGCTACCCTCTCAGATAGGGAGGGCAGTCCGAGCTCTCTCCTCATGTTTACAATTCTGGTTGATTTTGGGCAACCTAGAATGATACGCATGGCTTCATTTTGCACTACCTCAAGGCTGTTGAGTTGTTTAGGCGGAATAGTCACAAGATGGAGAGCATGATATTCAACTACAGAACGAATGAAGTGAAG